TATATATATATATTACATTGCTAAAGTCGAAAGTCCTCAAATTCAATATTTGTTTTTCGATTTATATTTTATAGATATTTTTCACTAGTTTAGCACTTCCTATTCTTCCAAATCCTAATCAAAATCCTTTCTGTTACCTGAGGAGAAACGTGATAGGGAATAGTTGAACTTGGTGAGAACATTTTAATAAATCCTGATTAAGGTTCCGATTACCACACAGCGTCATACACTTTCTTAGGATCCGATAGTGTAACTTTAGATGAACCCGACGACCAATTGAGGTCAACCCGAGCTGGACCATGAGAGAAATTTCTAGTCGGGCCGGATAGTCGCCTGGAGGCGGCGAAACGCGTGTAAAAATCATCCGGAAGATGTTTTCAGAGGTGCACGCGAGACGGTCGTTCGAGCGCCTCCGAACGTGTGACTATTGCGAGCGTTCGATCTCACAGACTATTCTATTTACCGACTCGAGGAGATCCGAGTCAAGGTGTAGCGTGTGATTAATTATCGACACATATCGAGCTGATTAAGTAGATTAATCGTGACTCCCCGCGGGACTGCGAGCTATTAGTAACGCACGCCCCGCTGATTCCTCAAGCGTTCCCGATATAAATTATTCGGCATCTTAATAATATACGCTGCGCGTAATTGCTCGTTATTTTACAACGTGATCGTGCTCCCCGGGAGATTTCGAACGTTGGAAATTCGAGCGTAGTCCGGAAAGTATTTCACGGCGCATTTCCGAGCGCAATCTCGCGATGAGGCGTAGTTATGCATGCAATAGGAAATTATCCGATTAAAACATAATTCTTATTTGTCAACATTTATTATGAACGAGAAATGAGATCGAATCAACAGAATCGGGTCGAAATTTCAAATGCAAGATCGACGGAAAGTGATGTTTTTTTTACACAATAAAACACGTGAAGATAATCGGAGAGCTGAGCTCGTTCGCCGCGAGTTGACAATCGCAGGATACATTACGTTACCCAAAAATATGAATCGCGATTTTTTTGGCGCATTTTCTTCTAACAGCGAAACTTTCCTTGTTCTCGAATTATGCGGGGAAGTTTCCGGGGCGTTGGATGAACGGATAAATTCGACACGTGCGTGGAGAGAGTCCCAGAGAGAGAGAGAGAGAGAGAGAGAAAGAAGTTGCAAAGGGACTGCAAATCGACTCTCCAAGACTCCATTCTTTTCATGTGAAGCACGCACATTTTAATTTATTCAAAGCTTTGAGTAATTAAACTCTACGCGATGCGATTTTCCGTTCTATCTCTGAAATTTATCTATGTAAAACCAGACACGACAAAGAAAAAGAAGGAGAAAGGAAGAAGATAAAAGAAAAACTGCGATCATCGTTTTCTCGCGGTTTTGCAAGTAATATTAACAAAAACATGTTTATTTTAAAATCCTCTATTTTCCACTCAGTTCAGAACAATCGATATTTTCTATCGCAATTATCTAGCTGTACCGATTAATTGTTACGTCAGGGACGAACGATTTCACGCCTAAGAGAAGCGCCTTTATTTGAAGTCGCTGCGACGTCTAGGAGCGAAGTTATCGGCACGCGCGTACCGAGCCGCGCGCTCTCGATCGCTTCGGCGCTGTGGCACTGCGGGCTGCAGCGCATGCTCAATAGCGAGCGCTTGCCGGAAGTGACGCAGTCACCGCATTCCATCACATAATTCCACTATTTGTGTTTACGCAACGCATCTGCTACGCGGCCTTGTCCTCCCACCACCGTTACCGCGGCTGACCACGCGGTCATTCAGAGTGCTTGCGCTTGCGCGGTGCACGAGACACACGTGGCCGGCCGAGCACGTGGTCGTCCATCTCGCTCGCGCGCATGGCGCGCAACTTTAAAAGGCCGTAACTCGGAAACGAGTCGACGTAGAGACGCGAGACAAAAAACATTCTTCTTGGCGCGCGATTCCGAGCGCGTCCGTACCGCTCCTTATTTACCGGCGATTCGAAGGACCGTGGAAACGACAGATTGCAGTCGATAGACGTCGTCACATGACTATTCCATTCTTTCCCTCTCGTTTATACAGATATTTCCGTAACGACAATGAAATTAACACCGTCGCTTTAGATCGGCGCGGAGAAATCTATACAATGTTTATTCACCTCTCGACGATCAAAAGCGAGAGCTTTCAGTTTTCTATCATTCAATGACAAGTTTCCAATTTTGCCCTCACCGCACCGTTCTCAATGAACGTGCAACGTATCAATTCGAATCATCAAACAATAATGAAATATTTACATTGTCATAAATATGGTAATCTCATATTTGATTGGTAATCAATTTGAATTGGAATTAATATCCAACGTTGATGTGCTTTAATATAGTCGATCGATGGCAATCTTGCGATGAAATATTCAAACGGTGAATTAAATATCATCGCGTTCTGCGCATCGAGAGGACTATTTTTTTTTGGCTCGGTTAAATAATTCACGCGCCGATTTTTCTGGCGTATTCAGATCAAATAGAGATGCTGTTTACGCTCATTGTAATTTATTCCATGAATGTAGCGGGAGAAATAGTTTATTCTTCTCGGCCCAAGATAACATTGTGTCGGACATAATGCTATATACGGCCGTCGAGCACGTTTCGCGACGTTAATACATATGCGAAATGTTAATATTATGATATTATAGGGAGGCGAGGAGAAGCCTTTTCGCGCATCCGGCATGTAAATGAATGTAGAAGTAGATATGCAAATCCGTGCCGGAACGAGTGACACCGACGTATTCTACGGTCAACATATTTCGCGACCGCCGCGATACGTTCGCGTGGTTGATACGTTTCGGTCTCGTTTTTAAAACGAGAATTAAAGCAGTCGATGCAAGCAGCAGAGACGGGGACTTATTAACTTCGCGATGCGGGGCACACGTTGATCGCACACGGTATCTCTACTAATCAAGATGAGCATAATTCGTTACACTTTGCGAGCGCGCGTTTACAATTAATAATAAACCCGGAATATTTCCCCGTTTATATCGCATCGACGATTTCGCTAATTTATCTGATCGAATGACTTATAATTGAGAGGTACTTAAATTAACAGACATCGATTTTATCATCATCGTCGTGTTTAATACCTCACTCTGGCCTACCTCTCTCTCTGTCTCTCTCTCACACACACACACACACACACATACACATTTTACATCAATTTAGGAACAATCGATATCGACATGTTCAAAAAAGACCCCTCGTGATTTTTTAGTCATAGAATTATAGATTTTCGAAGGTGTCGTTATAGCGACGCCGAATGGCAAAAATGGAGCGATCAATAAGGAATATTGGCGATTCCCAATTCGCCGGGAATAAAGGGAGGGTGGGTAGGGGAGGAAAGAGAGGGTCTCCGATTAGAAATTCAAATTGAATCGGGGCAGAAAGCGGGAGAAACATTTCTGTCACACGGAGATCGCAATAAGGAAGGTACTGTTTTGAAAAATGACGTAAGAAGCCGGGGAGTTCTTGACTTAAAGTAGACGGGCGAGAAGAAATGTAGACGACGCGAGAGTGTTAAACGGTCGAAACCGGCATTTCCATAGCGATCCGCCCACATACCTCTCCGTGCGAAGAAAAATGATGGCAGCCTCAGGTGGATCTGATATATACTGGGTGTCCTGGCTCGACTTGCTCGCCCCGTAACTTCGTTGTTGCGACTCGAACGAGTTTTCTTCACGGATGTCAACGAAACTTTGAAATTGTAAGAGAGTAAGACTTCCCTCAAACGAAGTCTCGTTTGAAATTGGCTGAAGGATAACATTTCGCCGGCAATTCTCCAACGAAACAGCTCTAAAGCTTCGATTCACGAAACACCGCGGGTATGCAAAAAGGGTGCGTCTTTAATTGCGAATGGTCAGTCCTTTTCTAACTTAACCGATCTGTAGATGGTACTTCCATCAATGAGCAGCTAAAATTTACAAGGATTCCTAAGAAAACGACGACCAACCGACTAAAACTTAACTGCCTTGAATTTCGTGTTGATCAGAGGAAAGCGCGAAAGAGGCACCCCGTACGTACGAGACTCGCGCACGCAGGGGAGGTTCGCGCGCAGGGAGCGGCGCTGAGTAACACGCGAAATGCATTTCTGTTTCAGGAAGCGCATACATCATCAGATGGAGTGCGCCGCAGTTGATGGTCGTGGCGGTGCAGTACATCCTCACGGGGCCCTATATGCCTCCCTACGTGCCCCAGACGGCGAATTAAGACGTCCGCCGCGGGAAAGAAGTATCGTCGCGTACCGCATTCATTCGAGGAGCCCGTCGTCGTCGTCGTCGTCAACAACGATAACGACAACGACGAGGAGCCGAGAGTCCTGGGGACGTTCCTAGAATAAGCATATACATAGGTCGCGTAACACCCGCGGGGCACGCGCTTTTTGCGGAACCGCGTCGCGCAGTATGGAGCTGGCTGAATGACAGACTGATGGACGGACGGACGGACGAGTGGATGGACGGGAAATGCGCTTGCGAACGGGTAACTGGTTTACGATCGACATGATTTGTCCTCGTTTTCGAGACAGTTTCCGATTTTGTTCTACGCGCTCACCGATTCCTATTACTAAGCCCTATTACTACAATAATTGCGAAATATCGCAATTTCGCCCGGCAAACACCATGCCTTGCGGTCGCGTATGACTTTCGTTTCAGTTTGATAATCGATTTTGAATCGTTCCGTTGTATCCCGCTTTGTTATTATTACACTACGGGATTTATCGTAGATTTAATTTTCAATTTTATGTTGCGTTGCACGGGAAAACAAAATATTAATATCGATTCACGACTCATATTCCCATTGTATAAGCAAGAATATCTAATCTCATTTAGAGATCAAACTCGCTTATACAGAGAAATTCTATACAGTTCCACTAAAAATATCATATTCTGTTATTTGAGAATAATTTTTATGAATTGAGAGGTAAAAGTATTGGATAGAAAGAACGATATCTTGAAACTGATACAATTCTTACTTCGGAGATATCGTTCTTTCTATCCGATACTTTTTCCCCTCAATCCATGAGAATTATTCTTGAATAAGAAGAATATAATATTTTTAGTGGAACTATGTAGAATTTTTCTTACGTAAGCGAGTTTTATCTCGATACAAAATTATATATTCTTGTCAAGACATCGTCAAGAATATTACTCGATTTACGAATAACTACACTTGCGAATAAATAAATACAAATAAAATGAACAAATGGTGCCTCGCATGCGCAATGCGATGTGATTCCTGGCCGCGTGATAAATCTCGTCCTCTCGTTACGGGCGTTGCGTGAATGAATGTCTTCGTGAAATCGTATCGAGAATTTATGCGAGATCAATGCACTTCGATCGATCGGGTTTCGAACGAACGAGCACGTGTTTATTTCGTCCGGGATGTGAGTACACAATGAAGGATCGTTATTCCGCGATACGAGGAAAATTCGCGAGTCGACTGAACGAAAGAGCCCGCCGCGTATCACTCTGATAGATTTGCGCGCGAAACTGACGTATACTCCGAGACGCCAACGTGTTACGCGCGATGAGGTGAGGTGTCTAAGAGTCCTCTCTCCCTCCCTCTCTCTCTCTCTCTCTAGAGAGCGGGGAGACTTTGATTAATGTTCGGGCACTTGAAAAATGTCGGGGGCGCGGCCGCGACTCTTCGAAATAGCGAGAGGGCGGCGGGATGACGAGGGAGTCATCGAGAATTTTTCCCAGCGCACCGAGGAGAAACGCGGAGAAACGCAAGCCTCCAAGTATTGGGAAGGAGGAGGGGAAGAGAGGGAGAAAAAAAATCCCACAAAGAATCATTGAATCCGCGACGCTGAAGAAGTGGAGGTACGCTCTCGCTCTGAAACGGTCGACTATCGGGAGTAACGTTCGCGCGACGAATGGACCGCTCGATGGGCACGAAAAGAAATTTGTTTGGACAGAAAAAAATTTGCTCGGACAGCAGGAAGACTTGTTAAGAGTATTAATTGTCCGTATATCCAGCAAATAGCAATTAATGCTCTTGATAAATCTTTCTGCTATCCAAACAAATTTTCTGCCGTCTAAACAAATTTCTTCTTCCTGTCCACTGTATCGACAAGCATTTGCTGTTCCAGCAAAATCTGTTTTCTCCGTGCGTCTTCCTGAAACTCCGCACAGCTGCTTCTCTACGAAAAAACACAAACGCGAGCTTTTCTACGATAATAAAATATAAATCACGAAAGAAGACGGGATGATGGCGAGGCTTTCGTACAGATTTTATCGCGCGACCTTGTCGGCGCTACGCGACCGAATGAAATTTATCGCCGATCAGAGCGCATTATTGCCCGATGAAATTTATATCAACCTCGAGCGTCGACCGATCAGTCGGCAGGTGGGAGGAGGACGCTTCGCATTCATCATTATTATTGCCTCGCGAGAGAATTTCACTCGCGCGCGCACTCCCTCGTTCTGGACGACGTCCTGTTCCGTTTAATTAGGGAAGCGTTCTCGCGCGCGGGATGAAACGCCGTCGGCGATTTTTAATTATCACACGCACCGTCGACGTTATTATTCGCTAATTAAACGGCTCCGCCGCTGAAAACCTCACTCTCCGCGCGCGCGCGCATATCCGTCGCTAACCGATTTTCCACTGCCGCACATCGTGTAGAAACGATTTCGCGAATTCAAAGCTACAGAATACATATCGATAAACCGTCCCCCCTCCCCCCCCCCNTTAGCGAAGAGGCCGGGGAATTACAACAGATGATTTACGCGACTCCTTTTGATTACCTGAAAATTATGACCCCCATCAACGGGGGCGCCGCGATTGCAGAGCTGCTGTTAACGAAGCTATTCGGTTATTGCCGCGACAGAATCGTTTCGGTACAGTTATCTGACTAGAAATTGTCATTGGGTATACCTGATATCGCATAAGGTCGCTAACTAGGCAAGGCCTATCTACGGTACACCTGATCACGTACCGATAAAAATTGAACAAGGATTACCTTTGCGAAAGGTTACAATGACTCTGTACATATTAGGACCTCAGTGTATTATTCTAACGCGTTATTTGATAAAATTGTACTCATCAGACCCCTTTTGGGACCTCGCTTTACTTATTATGATCTATTATGACTATTGCATTGTTAGTTTCTGTTACGAATCTTTTGCAGCAAACCTAATAGATGGTAAGTTTGATTGATGAACTCTATTTTTCTAATTTTTTAAACAGAAATATTTGTTATTTCTGCGCTATTAAAGTCGAAAATCGTCCGGTCGATTCGAACGGTGTTTGTGTTTCGATTTACATTTTCTCGGTATTTTTCACTCGTTTAGTACTCCGTGCCCTTTATAAATCTTTAATTTAATCATGATCCTTTCTGTTACCTGAGATAAAACGGTGATAGAGATTCGATAATATAACCTGATGAGAACGGTATAACGAATTCTGACTAAGGTCCTGATTATCACGCAACGTTACATGACTACTCAAGATATAATCTTATAACCTCAGATGGGTCCGACAATCAGTTAAGATCAACCTGAGACTATGGGGTAAATTTCTAGTCGGGGTAGAGTTACGGAGAGTTACACCCTCTTATAAAGCGGCGCTCACCTCCTCCGGCTCGGTATCGACGGAACACAATAGTGCGCGCGCACAGAACTGAATTAATATACGCGCATGAGATGAAATTAGTCGGTAATAAAAAAAAAGAAGAAAAAAAGGGGCGGAGCTCGAGCGGTATCGACGAAATTTCTGTTCCGGACCGGAAGTCTCCGGCGGCGAGTTAATTGGCGGGCCATTCTTCTCATTTATTCGCTCTTTAGGCGCGTACACGCCATTGTGCATATCAAAACCCCGGCCGTTTTGCCGGGGCACTCCATGCTAATTGCAACTCCAGTTAACGGTCGTTATTAGGGCGGCGGCTCATTCGGAACAGCGCTACGCCAAATTGCCAGTTTTGTAATATTTAGCGCGAGTTCCACGGTGAAATTTTAATTACATAAATAATGTGCGCGCGCGCGGAATAATTTCGCGTTGGGTCTCTCTCTCTCTCTCTCACACTCTCCCTCTCTCGATTATTTGTGTTATCTATAAAACTCACCGCGGTAATACGCGGAAGTTAATTATCCCGATATTATCGCCGCGGCCTTAACGTACGTGTATCGTTGCAACTTTCGTTGGAACTTTCGGCGTGTAAGAACCGCGGAAATGTGCATACGTAAACGCGATGTATAAATAACCGCGGCGCGACAAAACACGCGCGCACGCGTTGCATTAAATTATAGATAACGGACACAATTATCGCGGTAACGCGGCCACAGCGCCCGATTCAAGATCGAGAAGTTTCACCCGTGTATACCCGCGGAACGAGAGCGGCGAGGATCGGGATGAGAATCGCGCGCGCCATTGCGATATCAACCGTAATTCAACCGTGATAACAACGCGATTCGAGAATACCACGAAAAAATAAGCGAAGTTACGTCACCGAGATCCGACGCGTTAAACGAAAACACCAGGGTCGAAATTTCAGTTGTACGTTAAAGGTTTAGCCGAATCGAAATTTCCCCTTTTCTCTCTCTCTCTCTTTCTCTCTTTCTCTCCCTCGCACTGATAAAACCCGCTCGGAACGAATCATCGAGTCGGTCCAGGAAAACGGATGCTGGCGTGTTTCGGCGGCCTCCCCTCGTGGAATGTACGAACGATAGTCTCGTTTCCACGAGAGGACGGATACGCGGCTCGTCCGGCCAGCTCGAGGGGGTTTCACATCTTGACCGTCTCGCTCCATTCCGATTCCAGGCCGGAAACGCGCGTTCGCTCGCTCACTCGCGAGAGTTCCGCGCCTCTCTCTCTCTCTCTCGCGCGCCGATATAATTGTACGGAGCGCGCGCGTGCGCGCGTCAGAGGTATCATTCCGTAATCTATGTAGTCCCGGTCGGACGGGGGATTATGTTAAGCGATGCGTGAGCGCGCGGCCACAGTCCACGGCAATCCAGGCGTAACAGAGATACTGCTCGGTGACGTCGTTACACTCGGCACACGTACACATAACACACACGTGTGCGCTCGCGTCACACTTATGTGCGCACTCCGCGATTATGTATATCGTACATAAGCGAGAGGCGTATATACGCCCGAACGTGTATTTGTGTGTATTTCGCGTCTTGATGCGCGCGCGAGATGCATTACCGCGGCGCCCGATCCCGCGGTATCCGAAAGGATACGCCCAGGGCCGAATGCGTCGGGAGACATCAGGGAGATTTAAGCTTACGGAGCTAACTTTGATCGGATATATCGGTTGTCTTCTTTATTTTCTTTTCAAGTCGAGAGAGAGAGAGAGAGAAAGAGTGAGACGGGGGAGGGGAGGGAAGCATTATTTAATATGTGCTCCGAGAAGATTCCTCTTAATCCTTACGGTTCTACTTACTTATGTAACCCTTACAGATCGGGGGATTTTCACAGTTTTTGAACTAGAACTTTTTCATATAGATCACAGAATAGACTAGTGGAAAACTTGACATCCCCGCGGCACCACTATAGTGGCTTCCCGGCTCATGTGGACACAATTTTTCCAAATTGACTTTTTTTCTTAATTAATCATTATTTTTTGAATAAAGAAACTTTTTTTGTGTGAAGAATATTGAAAAATTCAATTTAATTTTGGTAAAATGTCATACAAAAATATGCAGCGCATCTGACGGTAAAATAAAGAACGCTCGTGTGCATGTATATTGGCTGTATAGATCAGATACGTACTGATCAGATACGTACTCGATTAGATATTATATATGGTGATAAGAAAAATGCCAAAATACAGAACAAAATGTCTATTGCATAAATATATCATATATTCGCATAAATTTCAAAATATGTTTTACTTGTACATACATTCGTATGAAGTAAA